GATATATAACCTCTAGCTTAAGTATATGTCTCCCTCATAATTGATAAATTATGTTTAGTGAATAAATTTTTCTTTTGCCTATAATGACTTAAAATATGGAATTGTTTACTAACAATTGGTATAATTTTTATCAATTGATTTTCTTGATGCTTCTAATGAAAATCCTTTGTCAAGAAATTTTTGTAAGTCTATGTTAGGAGAACTTGAAATGAGCATGAATAAGCCTACATTTTTGGAATTTCAAATGGAACAAGCAAAGCAAGTCATCTTTATCAATCAAGCTCATGTGCATCAAAGACTTAGCTCAAATGATGTGGAATGAAGGATTCAAAGCCTCACTCAACTACAATAAGCACAACAACATAGCTTGACAATGATGGAGATAATTGTATTAAATCTATGCTATGTGCCCATAATTTATAATATTTAATGCATGATTTCATAAATGCTTGCTTTGATATGTGCAAAAATGAGATATATGTTTGAATTAATCACCAAGCTACTTGATAAGATTTGTTTTAACTTTATTAAATGCTTGGATTGATTAATATTCATGCCTAGTTCTTGATTGCTTTTATTAATAGTTTTTATTGCATGAATATTTGTTTGAATCTTTGGACATAGATATGAGTTAAATATACTGATTTTTTATCTTCTAATTGCCTTGACTCATGGATTATGAACTTACAATTTTGAAATTTATATACATGTTCATTGATTGAGATCATTGAGATAGCATGTATCACATTATGTCCAAATGTTTGTATCTTTATTGGTATATTGCTATATATGATTTGAAATGCTTTTGCATATGCTTGTATTAAGTTTGAATTATATTTATGTACTTGCATATGTTTAAATTAAGTACATTATTACGCATTGAAATAATTTGGATTATATTTGAATGATTATGCTTTCATTATTTCTTTGCTATAGCATATATGTTCATCATGTTTGGAAAATACTTATATAATCTTTGTTAGGACATGATAATTGAACCTCATTCCTCATTAGTACTCATGATTTATTATATACATATGAGCTTTTGGTTCTTATTTGGATAGGATAGCTTATGAAAGATTACTACTATCATTTATGCATGTATTGAATAAATCTTTCATATGTTTGGAGCATGTGTGCTTTATGAAAGTTGTTGAATAAAATTGCTAACAATTGGTAACAATTGGTATCAAAATTACAAAAAAAAAATTTAACTTTCATAGATACTTGTTTATGTGCCTATCATTGATATAGCTTATACCTTTCATGCAAAATTTGTGTGCCTTAAATTGATCAATCCATATTTTGAAATGGAAGAGAAATCTTATAATACAATTTTACTTAATTTGTTTTGTGATAACAATTGGTATGCTTCTTGATGACATCTTTAATAATTGGTATCTTTAACAATTGGTATAACTTGTATGCATGTGCTTGAATTTATGCTTAATTGCTATTGATATTTTTGGTTCTAAGAACATCTTATAATAACATGATTTATGAGTGATTACATATCATTCATTATCCTTTGTTAATAAATTTCATGTAGTAAATTTGTTAACTTGTGCTAAAATGCTAAAATTGGATACACTTATGCTTTTGTGCTTGACTATATGTATGTGAACTTCATTGTGCATATTATACTTGATTACATGTATTCAAAATACTCTTGATATTATTGGTATCAAGCATTTTATCTTATACCTTGAATTGATCTCTCTTTCTTTTGAAATGACAAAAAGGGGGAGAGAGTTTTGAGATATTTCTTCTTGTATGCTTATTACAATTGATATAGAAGTTTAAACATTTTGTATAAAGAGCATAAACAAAAGAAAGGAGAAATGTTTCATTAATGATGCCTCTTTGTGTTTATATGCTTATTAATATGCTCATGCCTTTTTGCTATGACAAAAAGGGGGAGAAATATTATATGGACAAATTTGCTTGTGCTTGACATGCATATGTTTGATTGTGCTTATTTGATATATATGCTCTAATATATGTTTGGTGAGTTGTGTTGGATTAGGATGCATAAATTAAAGGGGAGTTTTTCAGAATGTCTTTCAAAATCTTAAATGTTTCAAAGAAAGTTTTTCATCAAACAAATTTATCTTTAAGTTTTATCATATCAAAAAGGGGGAGATTGTTAGCCTTGAATTGATCTTTATTTTGAAATGACAAAACATTAAGCTAAATAAGCTTAATCAAGATTTTGAAAAAGATTTATTTAGTACATGTTCTTAAGTTTTATATTTTGGTATTAAATAAATAATATGTTTTTCAAAGTATAAACAAACATTTTTTTGTTTTCATATTTCTCAAACCAAATCTATCTTTAAAATTATTTATTTGAGCTTAAATGAAAATCCAATTGTTGTTTTTAAAGTGAACTTATTCATTTTGGACTTAATGCAATTTTGATAATATTAGTTTTGAGAAATAGATTAACTTGAGAAAGTTGTTTTACAAGAACAAAGTTTTTCAACATTGAACTTATTTTATTTTTCTGTATTAATTCACAAAGTTTTAATATTTGAATTTTATATTGTTGGAAAGCTCTTTGAATCTACTTTCTAATGGATCAAATAAAATCAAAATCCAAATTTTCTAAGAAAAGATTTTGAATTTTTACTAAACACTCTGCAGATGTCAAAAAATTACACAATGGGTAACTTTGAAAATTCATTATAATTCGTACTCAATGAATTAGGTGATGAATTTTATGTGAATAGAAAGCCCTTTAAGTCTAGTTTCTAAATCTTCAAACGGTTTGCGATTTGGATTAATATAACTCAAGATATGATCAAATTAGTAAGTAAAATGCAAAACATGAGACAACCACCCAGCCATTGACAGGATCGATCCCCTCATGAAAGGAATCGATTAGGTCGTGTTTTTTTAAGCATGAAATGGCATAAAACTTGAACCAATCGATCCCCTCAAGGAAGGGATTGATCGGGTTTGGGCAGAATCACACCAACAACTATTTTTTCATACTTTCAATGGCTATTTTCTTCTCCAAAGTATCTCCAACGGCTACTCCTTCAATTTCTCTATAAATTAGGTACTCCAACACACCAAAAAGATTGATGAATCAAGAAAGCAAGAGCCAACAAGTCATATTTTCAGTCTCTTAAAAAATCAAGAATTTTTAGAGCTTTAAAGTCCATATCTTTGTATTTATTGTATCCAAATTATACTTGTTATTCATTTATCATTTTTTTTGTACTTAAACTTAGCAAACACTTAGCCTTAGAGAGGTTGTTCTATTTTTTGCAAAATTAACTTTGATATACAAAGGTGGAAGAGAACAAGATGTGAGGTATCCTCTTGAGAGTTTTGTAGTGAGATTGAATAAAATACTACAAAGGATAGAGGTTTCTATCTTAAGCCTTAGAAAAAAAAAAAGATAGGTTATATTTGTAATTCAAGAACAATGGATTGAAGCCTTAATGTAGATAACCAAGAAGAGAGGACGTAGGTGCCTTGTGGAAAATAACCAAATCTCTATAAATCATTGTATTTGATTTCTCTATCCCTATCTCCTTAGAATTTATTATTATTTATATTTGATTATAGGTACATTAATTGTTATTGTTAACATTATATTTTCATCAAAAGTGCTTATTGTTTTAATTTTCATTCAATTATATTGAAATCATTTGTTTGGGAAGAATTTGAAAAAAATAAATTCACCCCCTCTCTTGGATCATCATCTCACCTAAAAAACTAACAAAATGATATTTAAAATAAATTGAAACAGATAATTAATCCAAATAATTATAGTATTATATAGAGAAAAAGGACAAAAAATTAGCAAAGCCATAATGATTTAATTGAAAAATATTTTATCTTTAAAAATTAGTATTTAAATTTTGAATTTAATATATTGATAATAAGAATGAATTAAAATATTTGCTTTTGTGTGATTTAAATCAGAATAATATTGATATACAAATTAAAAATTGGGATAAACATGATATTTAAAATTTTAAAAAATTTTAACATTAAATAATTTATGAAATAAATTATCATGTAGATAATTAAAATTAAGGAATTATCTTACTATTAAATAGTACATGTAAGTGTCCATGCAATAATGCTTATTTGGATGAACATTTTAAAATATTTTATGTGCCATCAAAATAAATTATACAAATAAGTCTACACGTAAGTAAATTTTATCCAATAACTTGTATGTTGTAATATAATATATAAATATGATTGCCAAATAAATAATCTTTTTTGTAATTTATGTATAATGAAAAATTATTCTTAATAGTTAATTAACTCCACTGTATTAATTTTTTTTTCTTATACCAATATCTTAAACAATGATTTAAGTAGTTAAAATGGATGAAAGATACATTAATTTGAACTATCAAATAACCATCCACATATGAGTTAATTGTTACTGGCATAACAAACCATTAAGTAAAACAAACCAATCAATTATATAGTTAGAAATTTTTAATATGAAATTATGAACCATACCACTTACAATTATAATCCTATAATTATCCAACCATAATAATAATAATAATAATAAAAACACTTGTACTTGTAAATTCCACATAAAATTTTGATAATTCCACATAAAATTTTGATAGACCTCACATAATTTTAAACATAATTTGTTTATTATATTACAATGGTTGTTGATAATATATGTTTTAATTCTATAAGATCAAAAAAAAAAAAAAAAAAAAAACAAGTTTTGGCTAGCAACTGTGAAAAAGTTATAATAATTGAAAAAAAAAAAATGGGTCAACAAGTAACAAATCATTTCTTTTAAATTTTTCAAGGTCATTAGTAAAATATCACCAAATATATATACATATATATACCAAAAAAAATTTAAATTCACCAGTTGAACTTAAAAATCATTTGGATGAGCGTACCATGGTGGAAGCCCCTTTCATTCCACTAGATTTTGCTTATTCAAAACGTTAATACCCTTGCGGAAGAAAAATTATTAAAAATTATAATGTAAAATTAAAGAAGAAAAAAAATTTTTACCCCCTTTTTAAATGCTTAATTAATTTCAGTGGTATTAACATAAGAAACAACATTAAAATTCCACGAAACTTGTCACCAATTTCCTTGAGAAAGAAATTTGGCATTTTACAGATCCCAAGTTCAAAGAGGAAATATTGTCTTTCTGGTTTTTTTGAACAAAGAGGAAGCTCACCCATACAAACCATACAAATGTACCGAGTGAGATATATCTCAAGTCTAAATATCTTCCATACAAGCAGAAATTTTTGAAAAGCCTAAACCATCAATTAGCTAATTAGCAAACAGGTGACCTTTAAAAGAGCTGTTGAAGAAGAACAAAGAAAAGCGTTTGTATTTCCTATCACAAAACTGAAAATTCAAGTGACATCAATTCTCACCTTTAGCAGCTTGTCCTCACCAATGATCCATCGTGTTAACTGACTTGGATCTTCGGTAAATGATTTGCACGAGACAGGGAAAATCCCAAGATCAGCACCAATTACATCATATTCCTTCAGAGCTGCTGCCATCTCTGCTTCCACAGCTGCATCATCTACAAGATCAATCCTGTTCATTTGTAGAACATCAGCATAATGCTTCTCTCTTTCTAGATCATGTTGGAAAGGCTCCATGGCTGGTCCCTGGCATTTCAAACATTTCACGGAAAAAATAGTTAGCGGCACATGGAAAAGAATGTTTGTTATTATTGTCATTTCCAATACATTAATTAAAAATAGATTGGATAGAACATGCCAATAGCCATGTTGTCTGTTGATATGTGGTTTATTGATAAGAGTGTTGGACTCTTAGTTTTAGTTACGTGGGCTAGAATCTTGGTAGCCTCAAATACCAAAATAAAAAAAATAAAAAAAAAGATAGAACATGTAAAAGAAATAAGAGTAAACATAAGAACCCAGCTTCCCTTCAATGAAAAATCAAGGACCAGACTTCAACTCCCCATCCCTTTAGCCTTGTCCAAATGCAGGGGCGGAAAAAACTTATAATTAAATGTATTTACTTCATCAAATGGTTAAGTTGTATTACCTGACATAATTCAGCATAATGCCTATATATCTGACTGCTTTCATCTTGATCACCAAGAAGTGTTCCACCATACCAACCATTGGCTTCATCAACAGAGGTCATTGAGAGGTACCTTAAAGAGCAAAAAATATGTTTACTATGCAGCAATAAACTCAGTATAACGTTAAAAGGACTTGAGTCCAACATCAATTAAAATTATAAATATTTATCCTAAAGTAGAGAAACCAGAAGTCAGAAAGAACAAGGACAAGAGACAAAAAATAATTTAAAACAATACAAAGATTTGAATTCTCTCTCTCTGTTCTATCATCGGCCTTTGAAGACAGGCCCCTCCAACCTATGCTTTCATAAATTTCAAGCACTTCACAATGCTTTAACAAATTTCATAAATTCCAAACACTTCACAATGATTTAAAAGGCAAAACTGTAAGACATAATATGTCTTCCTACATTTATCGCATGAGATTTTTTCTTTAATTAGAAAATAAATAATGTCGAATATATATTTTTTGTCATATAAACAAAGATGTGAATATATATCTCAAAAGTTTCACAATAATTAAAGATAACATACACAGAAAACTAATCATGTACTTTTGTAATAAAAATGGAGAAGCTAAGCACAGATCCAATTCTTTCATGACCAAACAAGCTTTCATCAACTTGGAGGCAATAAATATATCTTCAAAGAGCATCTTTTTAACGTGTTATGGCAATTTATTGTTACCTAGCATGAAATTATGCTTTGGTAATGCTTTTCATGATAAAGGTACCTCAAGCATGCATGTACATAGGTGTAGTGTCACAGTCCACACCAACTTGTCAAATATTATCCACTTTGACTCCACTAGGCCTCACAAGAAGGAAATGCTTTTCATGATAAAGGTGCCTCGTGCATGCATGTACATAAGTGTAGTGTTACGGTCCACACTAACTTGTGAAGAATTATCCACTTTGACCCTGCTAGGCCTCATGGTTTTATTCCACAAAAGGGGCCTCAGAAGAAAATTTTATGAACACTTGTATCCCAAGATCAACTCTACTACACTATGGGATTCATGGCTCCTCTCAGGATCATGACATCCTCCCACACTTCAACGAGGGCCCACCGTTCTCAATAGCACATCACTAGTAACCCAGAGTCGGCTCTAATACCAATTGTCAAAGTCCACATCAACTTGTGAAGTATTGTCTATTTTGACCCCACTAGGCCTCACTATTTTGTCCCAGAAAAAAAGCCTCTCAAGTTGAAAGTGGTGTGAACATTTATATAGTACATGTAGGATTCATGACTCCTCTCTAGAACCAAAAGTGTGCATGCAGGGACAATATGGGTAAAATATTAAATAATCTAGCCCTCAACAACCATGGCTTTACTCAATTTCCAGCCTTGTTCATGCAAACCAACATTAGCGGGCCACAGCTAAAAACAATCTGAACCAACTTGATTCTTTCATGCTATTTACTCAAAAAGATAATGCATTTTTCCTAAACAAGCATGAATTTTAAGAAAATACCTCTGGAAAATATCCTGTTCGTCATCATCATAGGAAGAAAGCCAATTTAAGTCACAGAAATCGTCAACTTTCATTTCAGCATTGTGGCCTCCATTTTTAATTTCATGCACAGTGACTTTGGGGGCAGCCACAGCTTCTTCAAACTTTCTTTGGCCAAAGAGCCAATTTGGACTTTTAAGCTGTATTTCACTGCACCAAAATTTCAAAGTTTACTAGCAAGTAACATCATTTGCTTATCTTGCCCTAAATATCAGTTGTGGCACAAGAATTTAAGTGCAGAACAATGTTCTGACCTAAGATTTTGGCTAAATAGGTAGATTGAATCACTTTATCCACAAAATTTTAACAGGTATTTGAGGGAAAACAGAATTTCATCTGTTTTAGGGAAAATTTTGGAAGTCCTTAAGATTGAAAAGAAATGGAAGACCACTTGCTATTTACATTCTTGGGTTAATATGGTATTTCAGAACTAGCACCATATATAGTGGTCTAGTTAAAATGCAACATCACCACAAACAAGGTATTTAAACTTCTTAGCAAGCCGATAGCATAAGTGCCTCAAAAATATTTAAACAGAACCTAGATGCAACTAAGATATGCTTCAAACTAGCAAACAGAAGGTAAGATATAGAGCACATCCTGGCAAGAAATTAGGATGCAGGAATAGTCACAAATGGTTCAATTTTATGGATAAACATGTCTGCAAACCAAAATATCAAAACAGCATCATATCACATGGAAGAGGCAAGAGTGTCACTATTCAATAACAGAGATGAAATAATATTTACGCTGCATCAGGTGCCACACCAGAATTTGCTGTAGGACCACCAGGTCTTTGATCAGGTTCACTACACAGTCTTACATTCTTTATTGAACTACATGTGCGTTCTATCAATTTATCAAATGATGTCAACTTCATTCGTGAAAAGTCTACCCTACAAGCGGGAATGGGGGCAAGGATCTTTCCCGCTACTCCTAAAGGCTTAACATTATCCTCCGCACTGCATATGGCAATTTGAAACAATGAAAAGGTAAAAAAAAAAAAAAAGTCAGAAATTTGATAACAATAATTGTTTGCATGGCTGCAAGCAGAAGAAAAGCCTAGCTTTTCTGGTTAAATAGAAACGGAAAATTTACCACTTATCAGGGAATAGGTCATCCCCTGTCCCTGAAACATGAAGATAGTAATCAGAATCCAACTCCCAAAGAGTAGGTTTTCCCTCCTGTGGTTGGAAGTAGCCCAAAAATCTGTTGGAAATACCAATGGCTGATAGTTAGCAGACACAAAAATTAAACAAAAAATCAAGACTATAAGCCTATAATATTTAAACTCTACAAGCCTGAAATGTCCCTACTTTTTAAAGGCACAACTATCATGAAGATGAAAACCTTCATGAATATTTAAAAAATTAATTGATAAAAAAATTACAAGTTTATTGCATCTTGTTTTTCACCATCCGTGTAGGCATTACTATAATATCTCTTGATAGACTTGAGAAACTCTCTAGACTGGGTTGTAGCTTTCCACTTTCCCTGCCTCTCTGGAAAAACCTGAAGTTTATAATAAATTCAATAGTCTATCATAACATATGAACAATTTAAATGCTAATGAAGATATTACGTTTTAGCTTTTTTTTTTCTGATAACTGAATGGTTAAGAAGATAATCTTACAGTGTTATGGGCAGCAGAACCTCCATACTGCTGTGCAAGAGCATCTCCCATGCTCTGATACATGTCCATGAGAGCAGCAGCAATGCTACTATCAGGGTCCACTTTAGGCTTGTCCGTCAATCCCATTGCATGGAGTTGGCGACCTAAAGCTGCCAAGCCATAAGCGTACTGTGCAACATTTGTACGATCCAAACAGTCAATGCAGTTAGTTCGCAGTACTCCACTCTGAAATCTTGGAGGTTCATCATAATTATCACTTTTAATTTGTTGACTTAAATCACCCTCTCTGTCTCGAATGGTTAGAGAATTTAAATTCTCATTACTGCTTCCAATCCTCACAAGATCCCCAGATTTACCTCTCAGATCTCTAAGAGATGCTTCCCTGTAATAATTGAAATAAGTTAATATGCTGTCACTGAACCATTAGCAATTTTCATAAAGGTTACAACCAACTGCCAATTTTAAAAAAAAAACATCTTCAATATTCTGTCCAAACATTTAAAAATCATAATAGCTCTCTCTAAGACAACTTTCTAGGTTTTTTGTTTTCAAAGATACATTAACATGCCATAATAGTGTCTTAGCTATCCTTAAAATTGCATCTCACAGCCCTCTTATTTTAATCTTTAACTTCTTTTACCCACATGTGATTGGTATCAAGTGAACATTATGCTTCCTAAAAATAAATTAGAAAAACCTAAGTTCCAGCATCTATATAAATACAAACAGGTTAACGCTCAAAAGAAAAGACAATCATAAAATATACAAGTTATAGAAGATGGAAGATGGCATAAAGATTTGAATTTACAAACACAAATGAAAAGGTGGCAGTAAATAAATTAATTTATATAAAAAGAATGAATATGATACCTTCCGGCACTTGCTCTATTAAGTTGGTTGGCTCTTCTCTTAACAGTGCTGGGTTTACCACTATAGTAAAAACCGGTCAAATCAAGAGCTTCACCAGCCACAGCACCCAAAACAGCCAAAACATTGGCAGACTTGCTTGAGATCAGCAAAGAACACATAACAACATATGTATACATATAAGCTCAAATTCTAGAAGGGGTGAAGGGAAGGAAACCAAAGGTTGCGTCCATTTCATGAGAAAAAATAATAACTTACCTCTTGGCAAACTTGTGAAAGTCCCAATGAATAAATTTCAGATGGTTCTCTTCCGAGAGAATTGTGTTCAAATACCCAACTGCAGCTGCAAATTCACGCCTCAACATCATCTCTCTAGGTCTTTTCTCAACAGTCTGCATTTTAATAATTAATTCAATGAAGAGATAAAAATTAGAACAAAACTCAAATTGGAGAGTAGTTAAATAGTCAAAAGGAGATAAACTATATAATGCACATAGGCTGACACATTACATATAAAAACATACATATTTGCATGAAACTAACATATACACCTACATCTTAGCATCTTTACATGTACATTCACTTATGCATATAATTATACAACTCAAATTATATGCATGGGCAAGATAAAATCTAGAAAATGGTTCTCAGCAACTTGAGATGTCTACAATAGCAACTACAACTGCATACATGCACATAGATGAGAGAAGAGGAGGCTGAAGGAAAGGGAGTTATCTGTAAGTGCCCCATGCCTACTTCAAAGACTTTAAAATATTTGGTCTGAAACATAATATTAAAGAGGATTAGTGGCATCACTTTCTACAGTATGCTAAAGCAGAATTAATAAGCTTTCTGTAATATAATCAATGGTAAGATATTGTTGCAACGCATTGTTATTTTGCTGATCACATAAATGAGTTAGCTGTATTAATCATTTAATAGTTTTCAACTCAAACACAAAATAAATCCAGCCATTATTGAAAGAATGCAGGATGCAGCTGTAGCAGATAATAGCAACAAACAATACATTGAGCTGCAAAAAAGACTATTAGAGAAGTCAAGGGATAATGGTCAAATCGACCACCCTATCATATTGGGGGCTCAATTTTAACACTACTTATTTTGGTGCAATGTTACCACTAACGTATGATTTAGGTACAATTTTGGTCTTTTTTGGATGGAAAAGTCACATGACTGCTAAGTGATAATGTGTACGGTTAATAAAGTTACATGACAATTTTTTTAAATAAAAATTTGAAGACTTGCTGAGTCAGATAACATATATTTTCTTCCTTCTTCTTTTATTTTTCTTCATCTTCTGTGTCTCTCTTTCCTTTACCCTCTTATGGCCAAAGAACTTCGTCAGTGTCCTTGGAAAGCCCAACCACTGCCACTCAAGTCTCCTAAGGCAGGCTCTGGAGCCAGAAGGCACCTATCCAGCTTCAAGGGGCAGGGTATGACCTCCCCACAACTGATTATTTTTTCTTTATTTGCTAGCTACTACACCTATTTTCTTTCTTTCTTCTTTTGTCATTCCCTCCAACAATTCTTTAATTTCTTCACCAAAAAAGTCTCGTTTCTTCTCATCTTTTTGGTAATTGTCCTTGTTCTACATTCTCACACCTCTGCCAGCATCTGAACCTATAACTTCGATAATCATGATGCATAAAATGCAAGGAATCTATAGCCCAGCAATAATAGAAGTTCCAATGAGCCTTAGAAGTTTATAGCCACTAAGTTGCTAACTATTTCGTACTATAATAATCATTTATAATTAAGTATGTGTTGTCTAGGTACATTTTTGACAAGTAACATGTTAGATTACCTGACCTTTGAGAATACTTAGTGATGGAGGAGTCTAGCTAGCACCTCTTAGTTGTAACCTACAAAGAACTAGTGTCCCTAGGACTCCTAGATAAAGAGTAACATATCTTTTGGAGTTAGTTTTAAGGATATATTTTATGACATACTATTATGAAGAACAGTGAGATTCCATACTAATTGTGGTGTGACTCCACAAAAATTCCTAATTGTTCTCAAAAGTGTTTCTACTCTTATTGTTCTCAATTTAGTTCACTACTTTGCTGCATCAAGAAGCCCAAAAGCCATTAGTAGTAACAAGCAATTATCAAAAGCACTAAAGATGCAACATGAAATAAGTAGGAATAAGATTTTGCTACTAGAAGTCATCAGCATTGAATTTGAAAATAACCTTGATTAAATTAAGTACAATTATTGGATTGCCGTATCTCTTTGCCAGGTCCTCAAAATGCAGTTTGGTTGCCTGGTATGTTGGATCATACCTCTGTACTGAAGCAAAAAAAAAAATTATCCAAAGTTAGGGATATGAAAATGCGAAGGGATATAACTGGAAAAAAAATAATCAAGTTAATTTTCTTACAGATTATATCAGGTTTAGGACTCAATTTTGAAGCTTCTTGGGACCAGAAAAGGGGAATTGAGCCACGCATCTGCACAACAGAACTCATCTTCCCCTTGCATGACCCAGCTTCTTCATCAAGGACAATTTGCTCTGTTTCAACATCATTTGCAACCCTTCCTCGATCATTCACTCCCCTTTTCAAGTACCTGAGATTAATGGAAAGACACTAATAAGATTAAAAAAAACTATTAAACTAGAAATTTTTCAATGATTCCACCTTAAACCTCCCCCATCCCCCACCCCCTTCTCCTCTGGACAAAAAAAAAAGCCTAGGAAACAAGAAATTATTTATATCTTCCAAAATATTCCTTGAAGTAATATTCATCAAAGCTTGAAAGGATATAAACAAACAGGAAAAATATATAATTATTGCCTTTCACCAAATGCCATCTTAAAGAATTATATACCCAAAAAAAAAAAAAAGGGAGAAAACAAATATCTTGAAAACTTGACACAGAAAAGACCATCATAGTATGCCTCCTAAGAACACCTCTTGAAAGGATTTAACCTATTCTGGCACTCATTTAATCACCGGAAAATAAAAGCAAAATGAAAAGGAATAACAGAAGTCTTGGAACACAAACCAAACCAAATAGTAATAATAATATTTAATAAATAAATCAAATCCTCATATTTGAACTAACCAAGGATAAAAGCATAGCTAACATAAGAAACAGAAATGTATAAGATCAATAATATGATCACACAAGGCATTGCAAAGGAATTTTAAAAAATCAAAAATTTTTAGTCTATCTTTCCATTTTGGAGGATAGTTCAAAGTTTGCCTATTATTAGAAACCTGGAGGAATCAATGATTAATTTGCTGTTGTAACCATTATCAATTATAAATAAGACAAAAGGCAAAATGATAAATTATCTTCCCATCAATCTCACCGGCCTCTTTCAGCCACAATATCCTCATATCACTTCATTTCACTCAACCTACTCTATTATTATCTTGTAGTTCTCCTTTATGGATCATCATTCATCATAGCTAAATGCTGAAATCAATTACTCTTAGGAACTGGCCGGTTATCAACTTTGACTCCATCTTCATTTCTAGTTATACTACTAGGCTACCACTAAACCTACTCTCTGTAGATTCAATTTTGGCCCTAAGTAATCAACCTTTTGATTTTGAGTACTCATTCAATTATACTGTGCAATCAACTCCCAACTTAGTCTCGTCAACTAAGATTATATCTCTGAATATAGTCCATCCAGGAACATAATCATTAACATACCTGGTCAGTTCATCCATACATAAATGTAAAAAGGACTTAGAGAAGATCCTTGGGGTAAAACTATTGTAATAGGAAATATCACACTTTTAATTCCTCATGAATATCCATCATAATACCTATATATCCGATACTCCTCTTTTCTCTAAGATCCGCTTTAAAGCCTTCCCAGGAACCCCATCATACACCTTTCTAGATCAACAAAACCATATGAAAATCTTATTTATTTTTCCCATAATTCTTCATGAAGCTGCCAAGTAAAAATCTATGGCACATAAACCAATTGAAATTATCACTCCTACCTCATACCTTTGCATATTTTCCATTACCTTCTCTCATGCTGTCATAGCATGGCTCAGGAATTCAATGCCAAGATAATAGCTACAATGCTAAATATCACCTATACTAATATAGATAGGTACAACAATGTTCTTTCACCCTCATCGATCATCTGTTTGTTCACCAAGATTTAATTAAACAACCATGTTATCCAAACTCGTCCAACTCTCCACGAAACTTCAACATCTCAATTAGAATTCCATCCTAGCCAAAATGCTCATCCTCTTTCTGTCATATCTATTGCACCTTCACTTCTGAAGCTCTAAGTCTACAACTATGCATAACATTTTCTTTGCTATTGTTAACCAAAATTCTTTGACAAGATATGCAGTAAAAAATTAAAATTCCATGCAGTCCTCCTAGCACTTAATCTTGGTTAGTTGAGAACCTCCATAAAAAAGTCACAAGCTAACCATCATGCTGTTGGTGCAAAGAGCTAGTTTCCACATGACCCACTGTGACACTGATGATGCTCATAAGTTTATGACATGAATACAACCAATAATGAGGGAGAAGATAGTGCTTCCATCTGTTCCCTGATATAGGCCCAAGCATAAATCTAGTTTGGCCTTATAATTAAAAGAACTTTGTGTTCATATCCCTGGAGATACTACTTGCAAAAACAGATAGAAAGAAAGTAGAAAAATCACAAAGAGAGAGAGAAAGGAAGGGTTCCTCCACTCTTCCAAATGAACAACTACGAAGCCTGCTTAAAGTTTCAATTCTAGACTTTCAAGTCACTGGTAATCCTTTTCTTGATGAAATAGCTCAATTACATTTAAAATCTAACTAAACTAAATCAAAAGAAAATCAAATTGGTGTAGAACAAGTAAATCCCAAAGCTCTCGAGAAGCAATCTAAATTCTGATTTCAAAATCTCTAAATCTCATGTCTCAATAGTGAAATCCCATTGGTAAAAACCTAGCACTCAAAATCTTAATAATCCAAATCATAATCCAAATCTTGAATCAGTAATTCATAATCCAGAACTACATAAAACTCAAAAAACATAGATATGTGTAAGCCAAACCCTAAACCCCCCATATGAACAATAGAATGACAAAATATAACCAAATATCCTTTTACTCCCTTTAATTACTTCTTTGAATCCAGCATCAGAAAAAGTCTACCCCACAAACTGGGCCTTTTCCAGAACCAACATAATTTCCAAAAAATCCCTACTAACTATAGCTTTCTCCCTGAATTGTAAAATCCTTAAATAGCTAAAACAGAAATATGCATAATAAAGAATAAGAAAAATTAGACATTTCCGCTTCCACAGCTGTGCCATCTAAGAAAAAACTTCATATATAGAACATGTCAGTTATTGAAAATTTCAGCATGGGTTTAATGAGCTGAGTAATGAAAAGAACTTGTTAATCCAATAAGAAAAATTTTAATCAGTGTCATGGTTTCAGAAAGCCCATTAACTGGGTATACTGTCTAAAACCATGAGGCATTATTTCTTTTTCTATTTCATATTGTGGTACAAAAAGCAAGACCACTATTTTACACGTACTATATAAAACACATTTATAATATTAAACATGTCAATTGAGTATTGCTTATTTAATCAAATTTTGTTATCTTGTTATTGTCCAGTTAATATCTTGTTCACACACTTGAATGAGCAATGCAGGGTAGTTAAGGAAACAAGAATGTGACAAAATTAAAATTAGAATAACAAAAACACCAGAATAAAAAATTCTAAATCTGGGTTTAGATTCAAGGAAATTAGGGTTTTGGAAATTGTTGTACTAGACAATCAAGTTAACGTTCAAAAAAAAATTCCTTAAGAATATTTTGATTTGTATTAACAAAACAAACGTTACAAATGAGGCATTTAATTTCTGAAATTGCATGCAGAAACAAAGAATGAAATTATGTAAGCATTTGAGTTGTTAATTGATTTGCAATGAATGGGGGATATATAAACAAGGATGCAAATCCTAAAATTAAAATTCCTTTTATCATTGGATTGACAAAGTACATGCTAATGGTCAATAATTGAGACACAAACCTAGAGGTTGCAATTTGGCAGGTCAGGTTGGATCATTTCAGATCAAAGGAAATTTGAGTTGTTTCAAGTTAAGGTTATTTCAGATTTGAGTCATTCGTGTTCAAGTTTGTTGACTTTTAAGACTATTGTGTTATAATTATTACTTTTAATTAAATTAATATTTTAAAAATTAATAGTCAATTTAAGTTTAGCTCATTTCTAGGTTCAGATAAATTCGGGCTCAGGTTGTTTCAGGTTCAAATAAATTCAGGCTCAAATCATTTTCAGGTATGGCTCACTTTGGATTCATGTTTTTTTTACTTTTGTTGGCCAAATCGGGTTGGTTCAAATTTGTGTTCAAGAGAGCTTTGCAAGCTGTACCCACCCCTACTCCAACAAAACAAAATCCATTACGAGGGTACCTCCATAGCAAGACTCAAGTAAACTAATAAACTATTGGACAGATTACTCAATAGTCAAAAACTACTAATTTCACTCTCCTTAAGTGGAGATGTCATTCAGGGGATCCAAATAGGTTGGACAAAATGCAGAACAGCCTCCAGATTCTTATGCAATAGCAAAATACCCATTAGGTGGAACAGCAATTTTTAACCCAAAAAAAAAAGATTGCCTGCATTCTACCATACAAAAGATTAAGCATCAAAAAGCACAAAAAGATGAGTTTAACTAAGAAAAGGATTCTATGGACAAATGAGTGCATTTAAGAGGAGGGAGTAGAAGTAACCGAGGATAATATGGTGGATACACAGTTAAGGTGGATACACAGTTAAGGTCACTTGGATACGGAGGGCAAGAGACTATAATTGCCCCATGAAGGATATGACTTAATGGAGAATGCTCTAGTCCAAATGGTGAGGAGACAAAAAAGGATATGTGTAAAAACTATCCCAAAGGAACAATAATGCAACCTGATCCATGTAGCCAAATCCAAATAATGGGAGAAGGCTTTGTTGTTGTAACAATTAAGCACTCACCTTGGGTCAAATTGTAGTTGACAAGAAATAATTTTAGATATTGGCCTTCGAAGAGAAAAATGCTTTTCTAACTAGCTATTGATACTACTTATGGAATCATACTTGCAACAAGCTTTCTCTTTATCATTTTAATTTTCTTAAAAACAAATCTTTTAGGATGAGAAAAAGTCAGAGGGCCGCTATTAGATATTGAAATCTCAAAAGTCTTTGCTTAATGAATTGAAAAAAGGACTGAATATAAGAGTTCTTTTTTTTTTTGGTTGCCATTTCTAATAAATTAAGACCTCCATTTTACGAGTAAGGTATAGCTAATCACTGGTCTGTTTCCTTTACCACCAAATAGCTTAGCCTCCTGATTAAAAAAGCTAGGGTGCTCAAACTCAAGAATATGGATATGAGTAACAAACAATTTAGATGCAGGCATGTTTTTTCATAAGTTTGTCCTCACCATGCCCTCGTATGTACTTTGGGGAAAATGAAATGCTTGAGAGCAATTGTTAACTTAAAAGTGAGTTAAGAGGTTAGTCAGATCGGCCTCATGATGCTCATATCTCCAGAAAGGAGTAATTAGCAATGCCATAGACAAAACCATTACTTAATGATGTTATGGTAAGGCTATTAGCCTTAAACTGACCCTTTGACTAATAAAGTGATACCAACATGCAACAAATGAAAAAAAAAGCAAAAAGAGGAAAAAAAGTTTTTATTTCAAACATTTTTTGACAAAAGTGTATTAGTAATATTTCATGCATTGGCCTTTGAGTTAGTCATATGCAAACCAAGTAAAGAAAACAATTTCCAAATGAAATGACAGATCTTCAAGTTGAAATCATCTGTCAACTAATTCCAATGGTTGAATGCCACTTCAGTGGTCTGTATAATACAAGGTTGAAAGATGCATGTAAAGCAGAGCTTACCGTGTTCCAGCAAAATGCCGAGACCGTCTAGAAACTAGGGTAACACTAAAGTCCCTCCCAAAGATTGATAGCCGAGTCTGCAATTAAGATTAGCAATTACCAAAAAAACAAGAAACTTGGTTGAATATTCAACAAGCATTACAGCCAGCATAAACAAAAGATTCATATACAAGAGCAGCATATCCTTTTAACCAAAGACTTTCAGCTTCATTAAAATAAAATTAACCATCAAATACTGCTTCCTTAACATAAAAATAAATAAATAAATAAATCATAAGAAAAGTAATAAAAGTTTCTTATGTAACCATAAAAAAAAAAAATTTTTAAATTATCAATTTTGCAGCTAATTATATCTCCAACTTTTCCAAAATCTTACTTCATATTTAAGATTCAAGATTATTTAGTTCTAGCTTGCAGGAATTTACATCTGAATTAAACCTCTGAATTATCAGTTTTTCTTGTCCACATATTAAGCAAAGTGGAAAACGAATAAAATAAAGGCCAAAATAGCAAGCAGAAAAAACCATAAGCTTATGGCACTACATGTAAGTAAGACACGATGAATCTAACAAGGCATAAATGATGGCTTATTACAACTTGCAGCAATAAATCAATAGTTACAGGAAACAAAAGATCGTGCTGAAGTAAACTCTATAAAAAGCAAATGAGTAAAATGTATCCAGTCCAGCAAAGAAAGAGAGATGCAGTCAACATTTGAAGTACCTGTTTAAAATGCCCATGAACTAATGCTATTGTCCAAATAGTGTTACTGCATCTTGACCGAATGGCTTGGGTTAGATGGGCATTCCAAACAAATATATTATCATATGGCATCCCTTCTTCACCCATGGATAAAACATTTTTTTGCAAACTTTGCATTATGGGATATGTATAGCTATAGAAAAAATCTTTGGTCAAATCCACACTGGATAGCAGCTTCTTGTACCTAAAGCCAAAAACATAAAGAATAAGAATAATTAAAATGCTCTACCAAAATTGGACCCTAAGGCCAGTAGAAAGTGAGAATGAAGAACCATGTAAAAAGTACCGGAAGAAGAGAAAAAAAACTTTTACCAAATTACAAACCAAAGTAATAAGGTGACACCCACAACATAACATACATACAATATTATTTAGTTCTCACATTTTTGTGTTGTGGTTACTGAGAAATTCCACAGATCAAAATGGTGACTATCATTGTAGATATAGATATAAGGCTAGATTTCCATCACAGCAGTTATAATTACTTAAAGGTATTAAAAGAAAGAAAGATCTTAATAAAAGAGATAAATATCCAAACAGGACTCAACACACATAATAGCACTAGATGGAGATTAATATTGAAATATTACTGATCTTCAAACTTGGAAGGATATTGTCCACTTAACAAATAGCTCCAAGTTATTGCAAAGCAAAGAAAACAAGGCCTGAGGCTAATTTTGCCTATTGGAGAAGATAATGTCACTGATCTCCGTTCAAATTAGAGTAGATTACCACAGACCAAAAAAAGTGAGGGCAGATAGTGGATTTCCCTGTTTCTGATGTCTCATAGCGTCTCTATGAATCCACTTATAGTAACAAAAACAATCCATAATCTCCTGAATGTAATCACCATGAAACCATGAAACCAAGAAACTAGAGATGCCACCTAGCCAACCCACTAAGGGTAGTAAAATCACTTCAAATGAAATGGAAATTACCAATATTTATGGTGTCAACACCTAGTATGGTATTTTAAAGTTGCATTTGCATCCATATTATGCAGAACTATTTCTAGGAATGTAAAAGAGATAAATGCATAATTGGATGCAAGTAATTTGCGGTTAGATGTCAGAATAAGCTTCTACTTTCAAAGCGAACAAAAATTAAATATATCTATGTAAATAAGGGCCACAAGTTTTTCTACCAAACCTAAAAACTAACAATGAAGCAATCAAAGTGAAAGAGATACCTTAGCTCTGTTTTAGAATGTGCTACATCGGATTGAACTGAAACATGAGGAATTGTGATCAACTGGCTCTCATCTATCCTATATATTGCATGACCACATATAAATCCAATTTGCCGCCGCTTTGTAACCAGAATCAAGTAGTATGACTCCAAAAACTTGATGCAACCTAAAAAAGCCAGCAAAAATATTACAGGATGTCAACAGAAACCATTCCTTAAATAGCTTATATAGGCGGGTAAATTCTCACTAACCCACAATTCCGAAAACCTTTGCCACAAAGTTTAAGCCCCCAGTCGCACGATTTCCTTCAGCAATCCGCTGAAGCAAGTTTTTGATCTCTTGCGGTGAGTAAACCACTGGGTCTTCACTGATATTAAGATCAGATGGTTCTGATCGATCAATTTTCAACACCCTAAAGAATTTCTTGTTCCTATCACTCCCAATTAAATAAAACCTCTGTTTAAAGAAACCAAAAATAAAAATAAATTAATATTTGAAAAAAAGCCACAATCCTGAACCAAAGGAAATGAAAATCCTATATAAAGTACGCTATTGCACAGACTAAATTTTTAGTAGCAACCAAACAGAAACTTCAAGATTCTTTATTATTCAATTTTCATCTAATAGAGCCAATATTATAATTTTAATTGCTTCAGCTTTAAGAGAAATTGTTTTCTTTTTTTTTTTTAAATATCATGATTTCAGTTGCTTTTTCTCGAAATTTCCTCCCTGTTTCCTAATTTCAATTTTCTTTTCCATCTTTTTATCTTCAAAAAATACCGATTCAAGAACTGTTCCACGACAACCAACCAGATGCTAAAATGAACCAAAAGAAAAGACGAATTCGAGAAATTTCTTTCCTGTCGCCGAAATTAAGAGAATTCCATGATTTTACTAAGAAAATCAAAACAGAAAAAGAAAGGATTTGTTACCGCTCGGGTTTCGTAAAGCCTGAATTTCTCAAGGGAATAGGAATTGGGATCGGCCTCCAGATCAATCGAAGGGTGGATCTTAGCGTATGGAAGAGACAAATTGGTTTTCAAATTCTCCAATTTTGCCATTTTGGTGGGAGAAATTTGGGATTCAATTCAATGTCTAAGCTACGTTTTGGACATTAGGTTTGGGTTTTTCAAGTGACTTTCCGTTTACAGCTAAAACTTTTATCGATTTCTGAAACTCTAATCACCTATATGTACTTTGGCTCTCCGCATAACCAATTCTTCAACTCACTGAGTCGGCTTTGGCTCGGAAATCGGCCACGTGGTGCGTTGAAGTAATTTGTTAATTTGTTTGTTTGTTTGTTTTTTAAGCCACACAGTTAAAGAAACTTTAGTCACAAAAATATTGTTTTAAATTAGAAATTAAATAATTATTAATCTAAAAAAGTTTTTGATACGGGCACATCTTTATTATATTCTATATAATAATTAAATTATCAATAATTATTTTTTATGTATGAATAATTAATAATTATTTTATAACATAAATAATCAATTCATATCTAAAAGGAACATTCACCTTAACATTTAAAAATTTTGAACGTGTGATATGAGATACAAAAAATTGACTTAAAAATATGGAAGATAGTTGATGTTGTTTTTCTAGTCTAACACATAATAAGTTTGTTGAATGTAGGAAAATCTAGTACTTATAATTTAAATAGAGATATTGTTGATGTAATTTTTGATTTGGTGATAGAGAAACATGTTGGAGCTAAATTAGAGAGTGTATCAAACCATTCAAGGAGAAGAAGAAGATCAAGGGGCGTCAAACTTAGGGCTTTGGTGCATACTTCGACACCTAAGTTAGTATGTGCCTTAGAAGGGAAAAAAGTAAAAGATAGAAAATGGTAGTGGTTGAGAAAGCAAAGAAAGTGTAAATTTGAGAATGATGCATGCTAGGTCAGATTCTTCCTTTATATTTCATAGATAATGACATAAACAATCATGTGTAGGCACTAATGACACGGTAACTTAAATATTATTGACATGGGCATTAAGGTATAACATGTATAAATATATGAGGCTAACAACATTTATTTATTAATAATGTTACTCGTAAATTTTTTGTTGTCATCTATGCTTTACAATATTTCTCCATAAAAAATGAAATTAAAAAGAGACAAACAATGCCTAACAATAAATTCAAAATAATTATTATTGGTTACTTTAAATATATATATAACAATATTTGGGCTTATTATATAATCCTCTTTTCAAAATATCTTTATCCTATTTTAAAATTACCATTCTCCTTTATCTCTATCATATTCTGATTGTCACCATTACTATTATTGACAATAAAAATTTGTTTTCCTTTCTTTTATACTTCGTTTTTGTCTTTCTTTTTCTTTATTCCTACCTCTTCTCCTTAAGTAAGGGTGAGCAAAAGTCAGTTTGAACCGACTAGATCGATCGAAACCGAGTGAATTCGATTGAATCGATTCGATTTATTCGGTTTTAATTATAATCGATTTTTTAAATCGGTTAATTGGTTAATTCGATCGATTTTTTATTTTTAAAATTGATAACCGTACTGATCGAATTAACCAACTTTTTAATAATTAAAAATAAAAAAATTGAGATAAATATTTTTATTTATTTATTTTTGGTAAAATATTGTTGAAATTATTAAATTCTTTAGTAATTTAGTTTGAATGATACTAGAGTTTGAATTTTATTGAATTTTATTGAATTGAATTTGTGGTTAAATAATTATTCATAATAGGAAGAAAAATGATAAAAAAATCAGTTATTTAACCGAACCGACCGAATCGAACCGATTTTGATCGGTTCGATTATGATCGATTATTTAATAATATTTGATCGATTCGGTTATTTGTTAAATGAAAGTCGGTTAAGTCAATTATTGATTTTTTCAAATCGAACCAACCGAATTGATCATTTACTCACCCTATCCTTAAGTTGTTGTTGTCACTTCTATCAATAATGATTTCATTTCATTCCATTTTTTTATCTTTTTCATTTTAAGATCATCATTTTATTCAAAATGCCTCACAAAATAAAAAAAAAAAAACTCTTTTTGGTTTTAGTTTTTACTATTTTATTTTTTAAAGAAAAATCGATGAAAAAAATTTGATTATGTGACTTTAAGGTTTTTTTTTTTTTCATTTTGAATTTAGACTAATCAGAGTATTGAAAATGATGGTTTGAGTACTATTTTTTATTTTTATTGTTTAAGTGAAATGCTAACTTTTTTTTATATAGGCATTAGATTTTGAGATTTTGTGAGTGGTCCTTGTTTTCGAACCATCAACTTTGTTCTTTCTCTCATTTCTCTCTTCAAGTCTTTGCTCACTTTCTAAAAAGATTGCTATGTCAACCAAGTAAAAAGCCAATCTCAATATAACAATTTCTACTATAATATCCTTTTTGAAGATTTTTATTTTTATAATATAAAGATGCAAATATAAAAATAAAAATATTTTTACTAAAAAATTTAGACTTAAATATTTATTGAAGGTTTAATGCCGTATTAAATTTTATATCTCATTGTTAAATTTATATTATTTTTTATTTTTTTTCAAAATTCAATTTTTAACAAAATAAAATTTTAACTTCGTTAATGAAAATGACTCCTTTTATTTTTTTTTCTTCACAACCATTTCCTAAAATATGCGCTTTAGTGATGATTATAATAATAGAACAATCATAATTACTCTTTTTTCTAAAACATAAACATATGAACTGAAACGAATGCTAGATGTCTAATTTTAAACTAAAAGATCATGTGATTAAACTTACTATATTTATCTTTTTTATATTTTTTTCGCATCTTAAATTTTATAAAAATAATACCTTAATTTACATAATAAAATTTTTTGGTTAAATGATGATTCATAATAACAAAATTATCATTTTTGTTTCATTTATGTTGGTTAAAATATTGATTTTAAATGATGATTTAGATATAATAATAAAATTATCATTTTTGTTTCAAATTTTTATTTTTTGAAAGGAACACATACACAAAAAGGAAAATTAAAAATAATTTAAGCTAAAAATATGTAAAATTAGTCATCTCTTGATCTTGATGGCCACATGAATGCATCATTGTAATTAAGATCTTGAATCTAAGGGCTACCAAAAGTACGAGAAGATGCATATTTACTTAATAAAAACACTATTAAAAACATGGTTAGCATGCATGAACTTTGAATGATAATTCATTATAATAGAACTTGCATACAAAATTTCACTTCTAAGTACATACATACATACACACATACACACACACATATATATATTAGGGGTTTAATATCAAATTAATAAAGCTTATGGCTATCTAAGTGTATTTATTTTGATTTTATTCACAAAACAATTTTTTTTTTTGCCAAAATAACACCTTCATTTTAATAAATAGAAATGATTCATTTCATTTTATTTTCTTATCACACATTCTTAAAATACAAGCTTTTAGGGATATTCATATGTTTTAGAGAATAAAATTACATAAACAATAGATAAAGAAGAAAATATTTATTATTTATTTGATTTCATACTTTAAAAAAATAATTTACTTTCCATTTATTTATATGTAATGTTAGGTTTTCATACAATAAATACAATATTAAATATTTTAAACTTTTTTGAATATAAATTAGTTTAAATAAAAAATTATAATATGAGAAGTCATCATATTAATTTTAATGTTTTCAAGTATTAATTGTTTTTCTGGATAAATTAACATGGAAAATAGAATATGAAGAGTTAACATATATAATTAGATTTCGAACAACAAATATGCTCATTAATGATATATATTACATAATTATTTATTTGAAATAAAAAAGTAAAATATGAAATGTTAGCATGTTAATTTTTGTAATAATTAATGATTTGAAAATAAATATTTAAAAAATATATATAAATCAAAATTTCAAACTTTTCTATCAACAAAACAAATTATATTGATAGGAAAAAAATCTATAAAATAGTCATATTAATTTCAATTTCTTCATAATTAATTTATTGTTAGAAAATATCCATATGCTACTAACCATTAAATTTTAAAAAATGATAGAAATATTAAAAGTCACAAAAAATTATTATATTAATTTGGATTAAATATAAAATGGCCCCTATATTATATATTTTTCGTCAGTTTGGTCTTTTAACTTTTATTTCGTCATTCACTTTAATATTTGAAACTAATGATGTTAGTCAACTTGCTGTATGGCATAAATATCTAATAAGATGTTGACACATGTAAAAAAAATTCAGTCCATGCCACATCATTAATAATCATGTCAAATTTAAAATTTCTTAAAATTTAGAAAAAATAAAAAACAATAATTTGAATTTTTTTTAAAAATATTGAATATTTAAAATAATTAACAAATATATAATTTTAAAAATTTTTTAAAATCATAAAATTTTCATAAAAATCCTAAAAAATTCAAAAAAATTGAAAAAATTCAAAAAAATACAAATTATAAAAAAAATAACATTTCCTTCAAATTCAAAAAAATACAAAAATTCTAAAATTTTTTGAAAAAATCTAAAATTTGTAAAAAAAATTATGAAAAAATTTAAGAATTATGAAAATTTTTCATTTTTTGGAATATTACAATTTTATTTTTTATATATTTTATGATTTTTTAAAGCTTTTTTTAAATTCTCTTGATTTGTATTAAAATTTTAATTTTTAATTTTTTAGAATTTTTAAAATTTTTACATTAGAACGATATTTTAGATTTTTAATTTTTTTAATTTTTCAAAAAATTTTAATTTTTTTAAATAAAAGTTTTCAATTTAGATTTTTAAACAAATTTTATATTTTTGTAATTTTCAAACAAATTAAGAATTTTTTATTTTATTTTTTTAAGTTTTTATGAATATTTTTAATTTTAAGAAATTTTATTTTTATTAAAATGTTCATTTTTTTAATTTTAAAATCTTTTTTGAATTTTTGTGAATTTTTTAAGTTTTCATATTTTTTTTAATTTTTGTAATTTTTAATAGTATATTTTTAATTTTTAAAATTTTTAGAAGTTTTAGAATTTTTAAAATTTTTAAAAAAATTTCATTTAATGTTGACGTGACAATTGATGACATAGCATTGATTGAAAATTTTTTGACATATCAATATCTTATTAGATTTTCATACCACGTAAGTATGTGGACTAGTGGTATTAGTCAAAAGTACGAAATGAAAGTTCAAATA